TTTGAAAGTTTATATTTAAAAAATTGTTTTTCCTGTGATATCTAATTGTTTGTATTTTATTCGTTTAAACGATTACGCATAAGGTAATAAATAGAGTAATTTCAATATATTTAATGTGTAATTATTTTTAAATGATATTTTAGATTTTATAATGTATTTTATCAGAAATTAGGTAATTATATCGTTTAAATAGGTATACAATTACTACTTTATTATTATTTTAAATAATCGATGAGTAGCCAGTGGCGCCGGTACAATTTTTGAACCGTGGGGGCTGAGCACAGCTCCAAATACAGAGGAAAAAAACTGTCCGTGAAGGCTATGCCCTTACAGAATTTTTCCCGTGGGGGCAGTTGCCCCCATTGCCTCCATTGTTCCGGTTCCCATGTGAGTAGCTAATTTCAATTTTTATGTCAAAAAATTAAAAACAGTGCAAATTATAAACTTTAGATTATTAATTTGGTCAAATGACAATATTGGAAATAATTGTATAAAAACTTAATTGAAATTAAAAAGCTTTATAATTAATAATATATAAATATTGACCTAGAAATTAAAATACATTTACTAAAACTAATTTTTATTTTGTATCCATTAATATACTTCTAAAGACTATTAAATAGTTTAAATTTTAAACTTCTATGCACTTTGGAGATTTTTTAATTTAATTTTGTCATTGATTTGACAAATTTATGTATTATAATACATTTATGTCGTTTTATAAAAAAATTGTATTGTATTTAAATACAAATTTCTAGTTAAATCATACTATACTACAGCAGATAATTGTAATTTAACGATTAATGAAACTTTTTTTAATCATCAGAGAAGGAAATACACTTTTATAAATCAATGTATCGCACTATCAAATTTGCAATTTGATTTTTTCTACCATCTCAACTCTTCGTGATTATTACTAATTAGTATAAAACGAGTATTATATAACTATTATTAAGTTATGAGTTATAAATTACAATTGAAACAATGTCATATTTAAAATCGTTATAAAATTTCTTATTTCATGATTTCAATTTCATAATGAGCTAAAAAAAAATTCTAGTAAAAAGTTCAAAATAAGTTATACATGATATTTTAGATCCGAATTTCGAAATATTGTTAACGTATTAAAAATGAAAAATAATTTTATAAAATTTTTTTATTAAATTTGTATGTGTACTAACTTATTTTATATTTATTAGTAATAATCTCAAATACTAAAAGTGATAGAAAAAATCTATTTGCAGTTCTGAAATGAGTACAATAGATTGGTTTAGAAAAGAATATTTTTGTCTTTGATGAAAATTTCTTGTAGACCAGTTTTATTCGAGTAGAATCGGTGAAGTCATAATCACCAGCGTGTGTTCAGTTAATGATATTATAAATGTAAATAAGTAATAGCGAATGGATTGACTTAGATAGCAGAGTTGGAGAAACAACAATAATGGTAGGTAGTTAGGGGGGGAGAGGTTTATTCGCAAGGAAAATAATACGCCATGTTTGCTTTTTCCTCGCCCGAAAACATTGATGAAAATGTAGATTATATTTGCGACGTAAAATTCATGTCTCCGCCTTCTTTTCTACATATTGTATTCTACTCTCTTAAACGTGTCTCTAGGGGAGTTGTGGAATGAGACGGAGTACAGTAGTGCCTTAAAAGGATGGCGGCACTGTATATTGTGCCACCGTGACTTGTCACGAGATTGAATCAACATTTTCCTTGTCGTTGTGTATAAAAAAAAAGTTTATTTTTCAGGATGGGCAATGTTTTTAAGTAATTGTGGTGATGGATGTACGATTGTGCAATATGATAACTACGTGATGGATCGGTGTAAAACTCGTACAATAGTCAAAGAATCGGCAAGAGATAAAAGCGGATCGTACGAAAAGAATATTGCGAGAAAATACCATAGGGGTTTTTTGGCAAAACATGTGGAACATAAATTTAATCTAGCAGACAGACAATTTGGGTGCCAACATTTCCAAATCAAGATTTAACATTTGTTTTATTTATACTTTCACTCAATATCGTGTTTCGCCTTACGCATTACTCTGCGTGTAATGGGACTTAACTTTGATATAAATGAGTGAGTGATATCACATACTAATTCACTAAACAATCGAAACAATACTAATACCGTATGTGATTTACTTAAAAAATATTTCTTATGCAAGTCGTAGCAATAAAATGGCGAGTAAAATTTTTTATATTTAATTAACGAATCCGCAATTAGAAATGAAAACCGGACATGATGTTTCCGGTAATGGAGAAAAAAATCCATAATAATAAAATATTTAGGGTGAAAGAATGAGTCATTTATCATGCTAAAAATATGAATTAAAACAATTTTAATGATAATAAATGTGTTGCTGTTAGGGGTCTATACGAAATAAAATAATGTGTATATTATTTATAAACGTATATGTTTGCACGTCAGCTCATATATTTGCGTGTCTAGCTTTGTTTGTACTGGGACACATACATTCGTTTTATCCTCTGTCTACTAATGTACAAATACAATGAGATACAAGCGAGTGAAAAAACAAAAAAGGTCAAAATACAGGTACACCATTGAGAGAAGAAAACTTTGTTTAAACTAGAGAAATACAAATATTAGTGTAAGATTTATCATAGCGATTACATTTTTCCAGTAAGAAAATGCTTGTTATTATTCATTAGAATTATTCTAAAAAAAATATAAATAAATATGTTAAATTGTAATAAAACGCCGTTTTTTTTTCAACGAACAAAACTTATTAAAATATATTCTACGTTTNTCGTTTTTTTTCAACGAACAAAACTTATTAAAATATATTCTACGTTTTTTACACATTCGAAATTTATATAGTTAAACATTTTTTATNCCGTTTTTTTTTCAACGAACAAAACTTATTAAAATATATTCTACGTTTTTTACACATTCGAAATTTATATAGTTAAACATTTTTTATTGGATGTAATTTGAATTTATTTAACACTGCTGAATAGTCATAGTCTTTGTGTGATGAATAATAACGTAACAAAAAAATTAGATTTCCTCTTGGTATTAATATGAAACACGAAAAGCTAATTTTATTACATTCGATCACTAGGGAAATAATGTCGTATACATTTTAGAGTCCGACAAAAGTTAGCCATTTCGATTTTTAGTCGAGCGAATCTCGTACCGTTAATCAGGTGATTGGTCAGGTTAAATTTTTACCAAGGGTGTAATATGTATTTACACGAAGGAGATAGATGTATTTGAGCTAAGGAGAAAAAACTGTAGTTCCAGTCGCTTTTATTACTACTTCGTGACAATAGGACTTATGTAAAATAGAGGCGGATGGAGAAAAAAAAAAAGATAAAAAGTTGTTTGCAGCTATAGCAGGTAAAGGTACAGCTGCAACTGCATAGTCTGTGTATTGTGCAATGGGCGGGTAGCTCTATGAGTGGAGGGTACCTAAGGGTTATGCTGCCATGATGTCAGTCGGTTTATCTCGTGTTATTGCACTCGGGGGAAAGCCCAGTGGCGGTGCACAGGAATAAATGTGCTGCCCTTCCTCTTTTATTACATCTCCCTCCAACGCGCTTTCCGCATACAGTTTTATCCGAACACAATCGACAGACAACTCGGTGTACTATTGCACTACCCGTTGGTACGCGGTTATTATATTACACCGAGACACCGTCTTTGGAGGACGGCAACGGCAAAACGAGGTGAATAATGAATCATCGGCCAAAAAACGGCAGCCGGTTAATGACGCCGCCGGACGCCGGCAGTTAGTGTAGTTGAGAACGGTCGTTGTCGCAACCACAACCGTTCAATCAAATGCGACCATGTTACCGCAGACCGTCCCTTTCACAAACTACCATCGCTTTGCAGTACAGCGCTGATGTCCAAAGAGGCATCTACTCCGTCCTAGCTTGTTTACAACGCAATGTGACTATAACTAAATGCCCGTTGGAATGACAAATTAATTATTCAACTCCCCTGACCGCTAATTTATTATTTATTCTGTTTATACATAGATTCGTCTACGATATTTGTGACATAACATGAATCTATATTATCATAGATTATTTGATAAACAAACACTGCGATTATTTGGGTCTAATTAAGTTTCGTTTCATCATTAAATCATTTGAAAGCGACAAACTATCGACGAGAACAACTAACGTTTGACTTGATCGTTATTTCATAAAAGGCACAGTGTAAATGTAAAAAAACGTCTACGAACTTTTGCACCGAGTGCTTATCAATCGTTTAAAGTTGAGTGTTAGACAGTCAGTAAATCGATTTCCGAATCCTGTCAGATCTTGTTACTTTTTTGCGAAAACGTGAACAACCGGAATTGAAATAAAATTTGACATAGATGAATGATTGCAGGATTGCTGTGTAACTAGGATCGACCGGAATCAATCGGCTTTATGAGAACTGACGCGCCCGGGAAAAGCATCAGATGTTACATGAATTTCTGCAACTATTATCGTTCAGTGTTTCTAAATGTTCAATGTGATTATTAATCCATAAAACTCGTAGACACACAGCCAAGTTCAAACTATTCAATGTTTAACTTTTAATTGTATGTTACTGTGTAATAACAGTTTGCGATGACTGACAGACGTATCAATATATTTATACAAGCCCATATTAAAAGGAACCTGTCAATACAGTTGTATTTTTATCTTACAGTCTCATTCATCGAAGTGAAATTATTTGTATCAAGTAAATCTGTGTTAAGTAAACACATTAACAGTCCGTGTATCGCTATGGCTTTTGAAAATTAGGAGAAATCTCATTGATGGTTACTGACCCTAAATATGTTCTTGCCCAAGTATAATCATTTTTATTATAAAAGTTGTGGCAAAAGGTCTTTTATTGTTTTCATCTAACTAACAGATAAGATATACGCACACGTTCATAAATTGTAACTACAATAGCTAAAAAGTTTGGATTGGGTTGGAGGGTACATTGTAATAATGATAGATGTAATGAAAGAAAAAAATCGTTTGTACTCACAGTCTGCTTTTAACGTCGGTGGTTTTCTAGTAGCCCAATTCGTTCTTATGCTTCTACTACCAAGCCATTGTCCATTCATCGCAGCAATTGCGCTTTCGGCTTCCTGTAAATACACAAATAAAAGCATTGATTATATCGATTTCTAGAACTAGCGACTGATTAACCAACAAACATGCCCAAATTCGTTATTTAACTCAGATTTAATTCAACACAAATTATCGTGCACAATGTTTACCTCCTTGCACCGAGATGCAATTATAGCATATATATAAATAACATACTCGTGTAAACTTGTTTAATTTAAAACTTATCACTTTGTTTTTTTTTATTCTAAATATGTATTCAATTTTTGAACCGAGATTAAGTGAAATTTTAATGACTGTGTCGCTTAAAAAAGCCAAGAAGTTAAATATAGGTCAAGCGTATGGTAAAAAATATCTAATAAAATTGAAATCCACAAAATGCGATCACTTTGAGCGCAAAAAAAAAAGCAAACCAAATTTATAGTGTGCCTGAACGCTAGTTCAGCGGACAGAAAAATTACATTATTTGAGAATATCGGTTTAACTAGTAGGATTTATTTACACCTTAGGGTTGTTGTACTATACACGATATTGCACTTAGTAATTTATTCATATACACTAGTACGAAAGTTTTAATATCTTGTCGAGTTTGTAAATATTTGCAATTGAATAAACCCCCAAATTATATATTTTTTCTGCTCTAATCAAATGTTTTATTGAACTGCATACAATAGACACTTCCATAGATACTGTCATAAAAATAACCGAAGTATATATTTTAAAATGATACATTATTTTACTTTGGAATTGAATGCAAAGTTTATTATCTAGCATGACGTTAGAACAAGCATTTTACACGCAATATCTAGTTTTTTATCAAATAATGTAGCATGTATAGTCATTCTTTTGTTATAAACCGCTTAATTAATCAAAAAATAAAAAAAAAAATTTGATATTTTCTTTTCTTATTTTCGTTTAGTATCGTATTTTACTTAATATAACCATCATAAAGTAATTTTTATGTTTATCCTTTATACTTTATAATGGTTAAGACATTAACAACTTTTGGACCGATATTTCAGAAATTATTATTATTTTTATATCTAAGCGAGAGGAAGAGCGAGGCTAAGAAATGTCTAGTGATAAAAATAGCAGTACTTACTCCTTACTTCTAATAATTAAAATAATAACTTTGAATTATTAATAGCCCTGAAATACTAATCCTAAATTTATTATCGACCAATCATTTTCTTAATTAAATCATTATCTAATAAAAAAAGCTATTAAATAATTTATACTGCCATTTGAAAAATTAAAGTTCATCCCCTTATAAAGTATAAGGGGTGAGTATAAAAAATACTGATGGATGATAAATTAAGAATCTAAAAGAACTAGAACTAATGTAATAAAAAAAAAAAAAATCATAAATATATTTTTTTAATTTTTTATTAAATAAGAGGTTCATGATAAAATAATCACTTTGTATGTTGAGTTACTGAAAAGCGTTTTTGGAATTCATAATTTCTCAAGATTACTCAAAACTGTTTTTGTCTACTTGCATTACCAAAGGTACTTTTGTGTATCATTTTATTACAATATGATTTATTATACTTAAACTCACTTTTGTTGGCCAGAAAACGATACTAGCATTTCAGTTGAATTAATTACTATCACTATGTACGTTTTGTTTGCGCTAAAACCATTACCGTATTATCTCTCATTAGTTATTACTGGCACTAGTTTTGTGTATGAAAATACACGTTTTAAATGAATCCGCCGAAAGTACAATTATTATTTGTATTATTACAAAATTAATACAAGGGTGGAATTATTATCTGTCGTGTATTGTTTTGTACATGCAATTTCCATTTTTCGTCCATCATGAACCGTAGCACTTAGTACAATGTTATTATTAAAACACACTCCTTGAGCGCGTTATTTTTGTTATTCAAAAATTATATCTAATTATGTTTTTTTATTTTCTTTGGTGATATCTAATTGTTTATGATGATGATTATTAATCTTTTTGATCGTAACAAGTAGATACAATGATGAAAAACATTTATTATTTTAAATGTTTGATAAAGGGCTGAAATGCGATCATAAATCAAAAATGATATTGTATATGTAAAGGATTAAATAAATTTTAATTGAAAACTTTTAGGTATAATTGTACTGTTATATAATGTATCGATTAGTTTGTTATTTTTTTGTTAAAAAATATCATACTGAAATATTTGTAATTAAATTTTGTGGACAAAAAATTTATAGCGGTTATAAATCTAGTATTCCCAACTTCAAACTCCCAAAAACTAATACTTTGAAGTCTCAAAATAATAACCAAACATATTTTAAATGCTTCGATTAATCCATCGCCGAGGATTGCATTCCTAAAATTTATGGCGTAGTTTTAATACATCAGAGTACTTTGATAAATCTTGTTAATTGTAAGTAGTGAACAAATTTTAATGTAAAACTTTAAAAAAGTGCTGGTCGAAGAAAAAAAGCAAAGGATTAAGTGAAAAAGTCAACGAAAGTATTAGTTTTTGAAAATGAAAATGGCTTAGGTAAACAGTAATCTCACGATAACGTAACACAACTTTTCAGAATAACCAATACACTTTTTTTTTCTTTTATACGAGACTTTTATAAACATTTCAACCTATCGACGATGGGTCGAAGGTGAATTCATACCTTTTTTTTTTTTTGTATCCTTTGTGTAATACAGTTCATTAAATATTTCACAAATAAGTTTTACCTAAAAATACATTATATTTATATGAAAGTGTACACATAAGAAGTATTCTGGGTCATTTTGCCGGCAACCTTTTTGCCGAATTTTTTCTCTAAACATATAATTTCTGGCCAATTTTAAATTTAAGACTATTTATATTAGAAGCAATAGAGATTTTAAATACAATAACATTAACACGACATATGTACTATCATTCGTAGAAATGATACTTCATCGTTGTCTGTGACATATTCGCAGTAATCTAACTTTATCGTTCTCAATCGTGTTTGAAGTTATAACCACTCTGGTAAATTTTTGACATGCCTGCTGACACTAAATTAGGTGATGTTAACCTTAGTATAAGCTCACTGTTTTTACAGCTCTGATAATTCTGAGTATAGGCTGTAAAACTCTGGCATATTGCTTTTTTTTATTTCCTAGGAGAAAAGCGTAAACCAAAAGTAATGGAGTATCTCTCCGTCGACGCAGTTTCTAAGTCGTAGACCGATTATTGTAGATGGCTGCGTAAATATGGTGGGAGGACTAACCTTGAATGTTCCGCCAAAAAAAAAAACTAAATAAGACTGGTACATATGTTTTCTCGTTGTACACATCAATACCTATCCTTCTGATTGCAAATATAAAAATTCATCGAATAACAACTTTATTCCCATAATTTTAGATATTATAGTACGTTTAAGATTTTTTTATTTACTTGACTCAAAAATAAATAAGTTAAAAAATATTATACGGTTACTTATTATCATAAGTAACTTATTCTCATATATTAAATACTTTATAATTTCACTAAAAAATATATTGGGAAAATGGATTTGAGAAAGTAGTTTCAGGAAACTGTTCGGTATTTCGGAAAGAGTTCTGGTAGCATTACAGTTTAAGTAAGAAAAATTAAATTGGCCCGTCAAAACTTTATATACTAGATACCGCACCGTACACCACAAAATTTATGGAAGACCAAAAGTTGAGTTTCTATTTTTTTATTTTTATTTTTACAACTAAACGATATTATCTTTAGTAGTTTGTAGCCTTTCTCTTGCTCTTTTTGTTCACACGCCGTTTAAAAGACTTTGTTTTGTAATTTCCACTCAATATTTCTGTTTTGCGCATTTTTCTCATCATCAACATTTCCTCTTTTATCTATCTGAATCCATCTTTTTTTTTTGTTATAATGCCCTCTACGTTACACCCTACTACTTTATATAGCACCCCGCTGTCTTTTGCTTTTCGCATATATGAAAACCATTAACACCACCACTTGTATTCAATATGACCCCGTTTACTCGGCTATAAAACGCCTTGGTTTTATTCTTTCTAAAGTTTAAGGGCAATTTCTGTTCTTGAATGTGTACACTCGTTTACTGGACTGCATATACATATTTTCATCTTACACTTAGTTTCGCCATTTCAAATAGCTAAATGTATTATACATGATGTAGAATATAATTGAGGCTAGGGAAAATTGTTTAAATGTGAATTTAATTTACAATGTTTCGGTTTTTTTTTTTTAAATTACATTTTTTTAATTAATTGCTAAAATATAAACAGTATTATTTTTTACTTTAAGCTTCGGTCGGCTGATTTATTAAAATGATATTGTCGGAGAAATATGTATGAAAAAGGAAAAAGCTTCAACAAAAGTCAAATCAAAATAGGTATCTTATTCTACTTATATATTCATTGAATCTACAATGATAAAAAATTCATGGAGATTGGTTTATACAATTTGTAGGAAACAAAAAGAGGTTTTTTTATTCTTATTGTACCAATGTAAATATAGTATTTTACCTTATATAATTTATATTTTCGTATATGTTCAGTGATATTTTATATTCTTTTAGCATATTTCCTTATCTTTAACTTAAGGGAAGAAAAGAATTGTAACACTTGTAGCAAATAAAAATGACTAGAAGAATAACGATAGCAAAAAGTTCTCTCGCAGGTGTAACAAAACATTAAGATTATAAACCAAAATTTTTGAAATGAATATTCAGCTATAAAAATATTTAATTCATATCTTTTGGGATTTGTTGTTTACAGAATGATTTATAAAGAATACTAACCCCCAATTTTTCGTTGAGTAATAACTTTCTCAAAAAATGTACAAATTAAAATTTGATTTATTTTTATGGACTATAACAATTAAAGATTTAGAAAGGTGAGGAGGGTACTTTTTAGTAACGTTCTATTTTTACTATATACCACAAATAAGAACTCTGCTGTGTTGTGTATTTCTCTTGTCTTGAAAATTCTATTAACTCAAACAGTAATATTACAAAACTAGATAATAGACAAAATAGACTAGTAAACAAATAGACCAATAGAAAAAAATTTATTTAGAACATTCTTCTATAATAGTAAAAAAATAATAGGTTCCTATTCAATTTTTTAAGTCACTCCTAAAATTTACTCTTAGATATAACTTTTCCTTACAAAAAGCTAGATATTTAGTATGATTTATAAAAATAAATAAAATTTTAATTTGCAATTATTATGGACAAATCATTCTTTGACAAAATAGGAGTAGTATTCTTAATAAATCACAGTGCTTTTCAACAGGTATGCTACATAACAGCTCATTGTTAATTTCTCCATTTTCTCTGTTATCTTTGTCTAGAAACTATAAAACTATATAAAGCTATTAAAATTACTTTTTTAAGTATAATATATAAACAAATAAAATAAATTACTCATTTTATGATATTATAAAGAAAATAAAAAATAAATATTTATAAAACTTGTGGTAATATATGACGATTATTTAAAAATGTGCATATATTTTCATTAACTAATTGAACTTTTAATAATCTATTTTTATCGTAAATATTTTGTTTTTTTCGAATTTATTAAAATAATTTACTGAACTTATTTTTCACAGAACTTAATGGTTACGAATTAATAAACTAGTGGTTGAAAATATTATTTGTAAAATAATATCTATTACTCGTAAATAAACTAGAAATCAAAAATATGATTTTTTTTAAATAATATTAACCAAATACACTAATATAGAAAGTTGAAACTTTAGCAAGTAAATATCGAAAATTTTATGTGCACTCCTTTTCATACTTATCTTTACTACATATAATAAATGACAAAACTGTCGAAACTGCCAAGAGTCGAGGGAATATCGAATATACTACATATCACAAACAAAACTTGGTTAATGAAGTCACAGGAGGGTCATAATTTGTAGTGACATGGAACTCGATTCATCCTTCGTACAACATATAATACCTTAATTTTTATTGAATGACGCTCCAAAATATAATCAATTATAAGTCACTATATAATCCTCCATTTTTTTTTATAAAAAATAAATTACTTTTGTGTATTGTGATAAAGTTTTTAATTGTATCTAAAATCCTTAGGGTACCTTAATTAGATTATTTTATACTTTTGCACGTTTAACGAAAAAAAAAACAAATAACGTGATTATCAAATTAAATTGAGTTCATAATTTTTTTTTTAAACATAAAAATAATTTATTGAAAATATGAAAACAAAATCACGAAAAACATTTTTATCATTAATAATTAATTTCACTCAATAAGTGATTATTATTTGTAAAATATATTTTAATAAGTACTTTAGTAATAAAAATATATTTCTACTTAATACTTAAATTAATAATTGTATAAGTAGAAAATTTTAATGGATATTTGTCTATTTAAACGCCATATTCAAAACCAAAACAAATAACTCGGTATTATAAAATCATACGTTAAGTTTTGAATTATTAAATTGCATTTATACATATCCAGTTCAGTGCTTTTTGGATATAATTAAACTTAAATGCATGTTAAATCATTTAGTCACATTGTACTTGGAAGCAAAGAGTATAATTATATAGATCGATTTCAAAATGACTCATAATAATAGATTATGACTCATATACAAACATATACATTAGTGAATTATAAGCCATTAACGATTGTTTAAATTATTAAAAATATTTGTAACTTCCCATGTTTGATAGTAGTTACCAAATAATTTAATTTAGCATGTTTGACATATTTTTTATTTGATTGTACGACGAAATCTTTACTTATGACTAAAACAGTATCAAATATTGGATTAATTTATCAATGAAATGGTTACAAATTTTTACTATCATTTATTTCAGTTGTGTTGTTTAATTCTCACGTCTTTCAAATATACATTTTGATTAACATTTCAAAATGATTGTTATTATAATATGGTGTGGCTCATTGGATCATTCAGTCGCCGTGTTAGCGTTAATGCTCAGTTGCTAAATTTGCGTTTGTTCATGGATGGGTGACCATATGGAAACTTCACAATGACACACACCTTGACCTATACTAGTTCCGTCAGACATAATGCGGTTGCGTCAAGTCAACAGCTGGTGCAAAATTCCGTCAGATCATTAAGACCGACTTCAAATATTATGGGGAAGAGGCTAAGGTGATGATGATGAATGAGCGTATTTAATACCATTTTAACGAAAATTCGAGTATGGGTAATGAATAGCTTAACATTCATTATTGAACTTATAGTGTTGTATCTGTTGTATACACCACAAAGTACCACTATAATTTTGAACCTTTATAGTTAACTGTGAATTATATAAATTATTAAAGAACGCAATGGCGTACTAGATGAATGCTGTAGGGCGTAAACAATTAATCAAATATGCAAAATTATGCGTAACAACTAACAAGAAATGACCATAATATTAAGAAAACGTAATTAGTTTTAATAGCTATACACCTTGATAAGCTTACTATTGATTTGAGTTAATTTTTCTCGAAATAAGATACATAATTTAATTATATTTTAATCATTATAAATTTGAAATATACATAATTTTCTTTACACTTAAACTAAAACCCATAAAAAATATCAGTGAAAATGTATAAAATGAATATATATATATATATATATATAAATTATTGTATACTTTAAAACTAATTATGATATATTTTATGATGAGTCTGTTGATAATTTTCTGTATTATCATTTAAAAATTTTCAGATTATTAAATACGGGCCTAAAGTGAATAAATAAGCAACCTAATTGATTATACTTACAAACTGCATGAGAAAAATAATTGAAGTTAGTCGTTTGTTAGCAGGTAGGAAAATTACTAATTAGTTTCCTTGCTTTTCTTTGAGTGAATCCTTAATTGTTATATTAAGTAACTCGCAAAGAAGATGATTTAAGTTTTAATTCAGTACTAAATTTTTTAATTCTATAAAAGAATTTAATTTTGTATGAATTCACATTTATACAAACTTGAATTTTCGTTTAAACTTAAATAATAAATAGGATCGTAAAACAGCGTAAGGCATAAAAACATTTTGATTTTACATTGTTTGACCTTCTTTCCCTGGCTGTTATTTCCAATTCATGTTTACCGGAAGCACGAGTACATTGTTTTGGATGAAAGTTGTGTAAATCTATAATTCCATTTTTGTATGTATACTTATATGAATTTATAAAAACGTAAATAGTTCAATTTCCCAAAGTAATTCTCTTTATAGAGTTAGAGTTTCGGAATAAAAAAATGAGACTTAACAATGTTCACTATGCAGTAAATATCGTGTAAATGCTTAGAGAATGAATAAAAAATAAATAATGTCTACTGATGTAAGCTCATACTAGTTAAACAATAGATTTGTTTGCATTTTAAATTGAAATGTTTAGTTGATTAGAAAATATCCTATAAAAAAAAAAATTTAACACAGAAGGTAAGAAAAAAATTGTTAATACTCTTTTAATTTTGACATTACAAATATTTGAAAATGATTCCTGGTAAACTGAGGTCGAATTAAATTTGCTTTTTTCGTTAAACATTTAAATATATTATATTATAAGGTAACGTTGCAATATATTTGTAACGTTACCTTATTATTGCGTTTAACATTTTAACAATACTCAATTTTTAATTTTAACAATTAAAATGCTAGAAGTATAATATACGAGCACAGTCAGTTTAAATAATCGACAATTACCAAAATTTTTTTTAATATAATTGTTAAAAAAATATATTTTTGTTTCAACGGGAATTATTTTTTATAATATTATATTTAACGATATTTTACATCTATTGAACGATCACATAGTATCGGTTTTCTATTTTTTATTTATGTTTTGGCAGTTTTTGTTTTAACGTTATTCATAACGTTTTACTATTCTTCTAACAAAGAAAATTAACATAATTAGACATAATAAACTATTTCTAAATTACACCCTAACAACAAACAACAAGTTGGTACGTAAACTGTATTGTGTAGTTGAAAATAATATTACCCATGTAAACCGCACATAAAAATAATTATACAATATAGTTGCAAAATAATGAAAGGCCGTTTACAGAGAACGTTTGAGCAGTAATCTTATTGTCATGTAAACAAAACAGAAGACCATTATTTTGGCCATTGTTTTTCATAATATGATAAAAAAAATACCGAATTATAATTTTTGTCGTATCTTCTTTGTCTTTACATTTATTACTTTTTAGAATTTCTTTTTATTAGATTCAATTAAAGTTGTTTTAAAAAAAAACTATAAAGTATATATGTGTATATTTTTGTATTTTTATTACTTACGGCTTTTTTTAGGAACGATACAAAGCCATAGCCTTTTGACTTTAAGGTTTGAGGATCTCGAACTACTCTGCAATCTCTGGAAAATAAAATACAATAAATGTTAATATAAATTACATTTTTTTCTATTTAAGTTGTTTTTATTTTACTTAAATTAGTAGAATTATTGTATTTTTAAAATATAGGACTTATTTATTCATCCAATATTTACTTATTTGAAGGGGATTAGTTGACTTAATAATAATGTGCAGCTGCGCTTTATGTTCCCGTATGGTCACCCATCCGGGAACTTCAACAGTGACGCACATTTTGTCCCTTTATTTCCTGAGTCATAATAATGTTGCGTCTGGTAAACAGCCATTATAAAAAACTGTCAAATCGTAAGGTATGTCTGACCCAAAAGAGTTGGGATAGCGGTTCAAGAGATAATTGAATTTATTTATTCATCTCAATTAAATTCAATATCAACACTAAATATCAAAAATATGATTATTTGTAATTGAAAAACAAATTCAGTAACTGTTTTGTAATTCATTATAGTTAAAATTATGCAATTTTTTGCTGGTATTGATCATATATTTCAAATACAATATAAATTACAGCTATTTAGTTATAAAACGGTACAGGATTTCAATCGACAACGCTTTTTGCTCATCATGGAAATGGAACCTGTTCCCTAGTGTATAACGAAAAGATAGTTTGCCTTCGGTGTATCTTACCTAAACTATAAAGTACACCCCGTCATCTAATCCGGGCCAAAGCGAATAACAATAACGAATGTAAGAGATGAAGATTACAAGCAAAAACCGATCAGATGCTGAAGTAAAAACAATAATAGTAATACTCAAATCATGAGTATTTTATGCTAGTATTTCTGCATAGATATTAAATATACATATGTGGGTATATTATATACGTAGTGTTCTAAAAAGTTTTCAAATTTCACTTTCCCCATATTTTATGCGATTTGTTTCTTTGTTATATTAAAGAGACAAAAAAAAAACCAAAATAGCGGCAGATGTTAAGCAGGCCAATCTAGAAGCAGTGAATCGAGCACAATCAGTGTCATATCCTTACTGAATTCATCTTTGTATTGTTATAAAATAACTCAATTGTCTATATTTAACCTTTCAAATCCTATGTGAGTCGAACGAAGACCTTAATCGTATCAAAGTTAAGCGACCCACGTAGATTTTACCAGATACATAAAACCACTATGTATCATACGCATCGTATTTGTGTTTATAGCTAATAGCGACTAAGTTAATGAATAATACGGATTTGGTGACATATTAATTTCGTTAGAGAAATTAAAATATGCCACCAAATTCTTGAACGATGATTTGATTGAGTGAGTTTTATTAGTTTCCTAAAGAATTTAAAATTTTCAGCAATTTCATCATTTTTAAAGCTACCTTGTAAGCCTTAGAACTTAAAGCTTTTTAGAAAATGTGTCACTACTTCTATAATGTCTCACAGATCACCATAATGAGTAGATTTTTCCATTAAAGGAAGTAGTAAGATGTCCTCTAGTATCAAATTTAGGGTATGAGGAGAGGTTGAAGAGCAATGATGTTTTTTTTAAGCCAAAAATTATAAGATAACAATGACTGAATGAAAAGGATATAGTTGGTTTTTCAAGTCAACTCTTTTCCACGAAAGTTTGAATACTTTTGCAAGTCATTTTAGTTAATGGAATAAATTTTCGATGAAAAATGTCTTAATTAAAAAAAAATACATGAACATTATTTTAATTTAGTGTCGGAAAATTTAGACTTTCTTAGGATTCCTTATTCAATATTGGCTTTAAAACGTGCTAACCATCCCTTTTCAAAAAATCGCGTCAGATACTTATTACCTAAAATGTCAAACATTTGTAAAAAATTTGACTGTTTTTCTACCGAATTTCATAAGAAATTCAATAATGTATCATTTAACATTTTTTAATCATAATAATAATTTTTTTTTTAACAAATACTTCAAAAGTATGTAAACACACATTATTATACTAATAATAGTATACCAGAATTAGTGTTTATGTTAGGGACAACTCCATTGAATGAGAAAACTATGCCGAATAAGGGAAAAAGTGCATGTACTGTGACACAAACTTAATGAGCTTTACTTGGATAAATCCTGATATTTTTTCACTGGGTATTCACTTTGCTAACGAAGAGGCGTACATGGAAGGAAATATTTTCTTTTCACCCATCTCGTTTTTCTTCTTAAAAAAAAAAAAAGGAAGATATTCCGTAAAATGGTAGCTTTTTATTTTGTTTTTTTTTTTCAGTTTTACGGTACGTTTGGATTGGAAATGCAAATACCCGTATGAAATATATAATATCCGTCGTCTACAAAAATATACATAATAATATTTTAAATAAAAAAAACAAAGATGGAGTAAATCCACTCAAATTAAATTCTTTGCTTGGATAATAATAATTTAAAAACAAATTCGATGAGTCGAGCAAGATTCGATATTAAAACTGATATAAAATCAATGAGTTTTATTTATATCTGTAACGACTTGATTAAAAGGTAAACATGAACAAGTGTACTTTTTCTACAAGAATAATATTGATGAATATCGTTATTATAATATTACCAGCTAATTTATACTTTTCTAAATACAACTATTTCAATTATACTCATTAATTTTAGTAGTTCTACAACTGGATTTTGACTACACGGAATAACAATTATAATTATATTTTTATGATAGTTAATATTTGATTTATTTTAAATTAGAAAAACAAACAAAAAAACTTTTTTTCCATCATTTTTACCCATTTATATTTAATATACAGGGTGTTCAGTAAGTCAGGAAACGGGTATCTATTGTTCTCATTGTTTGTAACAAAAAATTGTTACAAACAATGAGAACAATAGATACCCGTTTCCTGACTTACTGAACACCCTGTATAATAATAGAATAAGTTATTATAGATTAATTTTTTTTTGTAAAATTAAAGTTTGATTTCTAAAATGTTATTTCACGGAACCCATAGAAATCTATAAATGTATACAATCAATTATTTAATTTATTGTTTTTTAATCATCAAGTTAAAATAAGTTTCATTTTTTTTTTTTACGTAAATGTTGTACAGGTTAGTTTCAAACAAGAACAGTTGGATATTATTGTCAAACACATATACATATTTATAAAGAGTCACTTGTCTATATAGTGATAAATGATATTCGTTTATCTTCTTTGTTTGTAGCCTAGTTATGTACTGATCCACGAGCATTACTGTTTTCCTCACGTGATTTAGCTTATGCTCAAAAAAAGGATAAAAGCAATTTATCCAGAAGCATTAACCTAGTTGCACATCACAAATAAAAATCACAACCAATGTGTTTAGCTTAACCGATAAAGCTACTCTAAAACCTTTATTTTGTACCAATGATCAAAGAATCACGGAGTGGATTAAATTTTCCAGGTCAATAGGACTAATATTTGATATTGCTCAGCTAAATAACAAATACATTTTTTTTTTTTATAAATATCATTAAGTAAATAAAATTAAAAATAATTGTATAGATCATTTTTGACTTTATAATAACGACATTGAGGGAAACTTATGAGGGTAAGGTGGGTTAAGTTGAGGAATAGGAAAAGACAACAAATTCGATATATTTCATAATTAATCAAATATAACAACACATCTTTACTTGCATAAAACACTCTTGTGGTGCACTTTGTTACTCTCATTTTGAATACACCTAAGTATTTTGTAGTCAAAGTATTATTTTTTAATTTACAAGTAGGGCTATTTTTCTGGTAAACTGTTTCTGGAGTAGTATTATTTTTTTTTGCAGAAAACATATCTTGCCCCGTGTAGCCGGGTACTCCTACCAGAATCAATGACCTACCTGTAAGTACAGACCGATGAGTCAAACATGCCGAAGGCGCATAAGGACCGTAGGGTATCAGGACTAGGTTGTAGTCTCAGTTAGGCAAAGCAGTGTATGCAATAAAAATGTTATTAATTTTTTATTTTAAGAAAATAACTGCAAAATCACTATCGAGAGTCGTTCTTCTAACTATTATGCCTTCAAGCAACACAATGCAATTAACTCTATCAAAATACGTAACTTTTTCCCAGTAAAATAAATAAAGTATGAATGGCACTGACTGTTGATTATTTATAAATGATATCATAATAAAATGAAATGAGTTAGGTTTGACTTTTGGCAAATTTAATTAGTATTTTCATACCAGAGGGATCGAGTTATTCGACTTGTTAATTTTTTTTGCTGTTATATTCTTAAATATTTATGAAAGATCACAAAACAGTTCATGAACAAATTTTTTTCAACTTCGACGTTAGTTTTTTTACAAATAAAGCTATTAATTTTCTCGTGAATTGAATAATTTAAGAGTTATTTGTAAGCCAACCGGTAAAATGAATTTTTCGAGTGAAATGTTAATACTAATTATTCTTAAATAATAAATTTATTCAATTATTTAAATTTTTGTACAAACTGAGAAGTTAATATAATCACATTATCCAATGTCATTATTTGATTGATATTATTGTTTTATGACAAAAATAATTGCACATTACGTCGTGTTGTCATACCAGTTATTTGGTGATTTCCAGAAACGTCTGTCAGTATATAGTGTCAGTTAGCCAAAGAGAGATTATATTGTAGCTCTGTTTCTTTGTTAAAATATAAATTATTATAATCGCGTTTATACCCGGCAACGGTACATTTGTGTGTTTAATCAAATGAAAATATCAGAGCTGTCTTTGTTTAAAAGTTTGCTAAGACGGTCGTGAATTAATGTCGTGCCAGTGTTGTTAAAAACAATAGCTGTCAGTCTGAGATAGATTAAGTCATGCTAAAACAAGACACTTCAGAAATCGATCCATCCTATAGTGTGTATTGCACGTATATAAATATAATAATAATGCATTTTAATTTTAAATAATCAAATATTTCAGATATATCGGTAGTATTGTTATTTTCGATTAATTACGCCCAAACCCAACTGGCTAATCATATTAAATGCGTTGGATTAAAAACAATTAATTCAAATTACGTGACAAAATTGAACAGTAACAAAAATGACAGACGCTCGGGACATTATTTTTAACAGCTAAAATGCAAATCATTTAGATCTGTCACATAATATTTTAATGTAAATGAAGTTAAATATTTGGTTTTTTGTTCGATTTCAAAATGAATTAAAATACATTAAATATATTGATCTTAAAAAATCAGCTAATAATCTACTATTTACTAACAATTATATAATTTTTTATTGATAAAACAAAACAATAATTTACAGTGAATAAATAAGAATAGACTAAAAAAATATTAGATACATAAATAAATAAAAATTATTTTTGTGAACGTTATGTTTACCGATCAACTATTGTAGATTATTTGTTTTGAAACATGATGCATTAGACATTATTTATAAATAATACCTAAATGATAAAATAGTTTACTGTAGTAGATCATTTGTCCGTAAACCGACTGAAAAAACTATCCACTCTAGAGTACTTAAAAAAAATGTCTAATTAGAAATTTTTGTTATACTTCTTTTTTTTTTAATTTTTGTTACATACTTAGTTTTGAACAGAGTTTATTTTGTGAAACATTATTATTTGACATAAGTCAGAGTGCTCTAGAAGTTAACTTAAAATATTCTAATATGATAAATCCAGTACATGTTAAGTTACTTAATAGAGTATCAGATATGACTTGTATTAAATTATAAACTGATGATTCAAGTAGAACTCAGTTCTCAAAATCAGCAAAATAACTTTTGGACAGTTATAGTTTACATAAGAGTATCCTTGAAAGCATTCGAATTAAGAGAGGTTCCTAAGAAACATTGTTAATTACGTAAACATAGACAGTTTTGATTATTTAATTTTACTACCAGTGTACTAAGTAAATAGTTTGAACTTAAGTATTATTTAGTATTGCAAACTTTTTCTTATTTTAAACTTACAATAACAATAAAAATTAGCCGTACCATATTTTACTGTTAATATATTAAAAGAAATATATACATGTATCAATTTTAGCCACAGTTATACATAGTAGAATAAAAAGTTTTGGTAACAAGGTATCATTAGCTGATTTTTACAAGTTACTGATTTGGTCTTAAAAATTGTACTTAGCTTTTTTATTATTCTTTGAGTAATATAAAATAGTAGTTTATAGTGTATATCAAGTGTCAATATTAAATAATAAAACGTGCACCTAAATCGCCAAGAATAGGCCATCGTTAAAGATCATCAACATTTTGTACATGTGCACTTGGTTTTCTACTGACTAGTGCCAACCATTTTTACCCACACACACTTCAATACCGATCGACCCGCAATGAAACGAGTTCGCCATTTTTTTTCTTTTTTGTACTCTTTCTCATCGTAATTTTTTTCTCCCGACATCATTTCTCACACGTTCGTGTCGTCCTGTCCCTTTCCATCACTCGACCTCATGTGTCATGATCTTATATATAGGTAGGTATTATAGATTGATCCCATCCACATTTGGCTTATCTAGAACGAATGTCATCGTTGCTTGCTCACATCACACGATTTACGTATATTTTGTATCTTATATAATATATTACATTATACACGCTCGGTTTCAAAATACGATTTAAAAAAGTTTGGTACGTTTTAGATATGATGGTAGTCTATATACTCATACTATTGATTTGGTATGATATATGAACCATGTATTTAAACTTTAACAAAGAGTTAATTTAGTATAGATTTTACGATGAAATATTTTTTTTTTAATCACAGTGTGTCCTACTTTTTAATGTATTTATTTCATGACTTTTCTGAATAATATTTTCTTATCCTTTTCACTAAAAAAGGTGGTTTTTCTACAAAAAAATAATTTTTAAAAAAATTTCAGGTTGTAACTAAGTTGTCAATAATATATAGTAAATTACTTAAGCTGTATTAAAAACCAACTATTATACATTATACACAATTTATTGGTTTATTTTTTTTAGAAATTTGAAGGGTAAACATACACAATTAAATGGTTGTATCACTTATCAAAATATGATATGTTTTCTTTGTTAAATATTACATGTCAAAATCTTATTTTATTAGAAATAATATAACTTAATCAAAATAGATAACTAAATATTTACTAAAATAATAAATAGTTTCCCTTAAAATAAGTTAATCATAAAATATAAAATATTTTTATAAGACATTTTTTTTATCAATAAACTTGGCAAAAATATAATAATGTAATACTCACGATATTTCGCCAAAGGGTGTAAATGCTTCTCTTAATGTTTGCGTTTCGATTTCGGGACTTAGGTCTCCCACAAATATGTGATGGTGTTCTGAAAAACAAATAAGAATAAATACTCAAAATTCCATATAAATAACGGACAATTTTTCAAAACAATGTAATACTTATAAATACACTTAAAATACTATGTTAATACTTTATTTTCTTATCGAGTATCTATTTATTCGTAGCGGAATTAAATTTGTTTCTTCTAAATATGATGAAAAATATTTTCAGACAAATTTTAATTCACCTTTACTATTTTTTGTATGTTCGTTTTCACTAGGTAATCATAAAATGTACATTATTTGTCTGTACACGAATGGTAAACTTTTGAAGTATACATTGCGTTTTATGTATTTATTGTTCTTATTGTATTTTTTGTTTATAAGACTACGCTAGACTAGACAGATTAAATGAAAAACTTTCATGTTTGTCAATGGCGTATTTACAGATTCCTGTACAATGACTAAACAACGTTTTAATTAAAAATAAAATGTGCGCACCACTAGCCGAACAAAAATACATAATTTAACAGGCGGTCGATATTTTTGTTGATACACAAACGTATGCACATGTAATATATTTTTTTATGTTTGCTTTTGTTTAATAATCTTTCTGAGCATTTTTAAAGAATACCTCATCGTACAAAGTTCATGTATTAGCAAATGTTTTTTTTTATATAATATAAGGTAAATTACAATTATTTTTATATTTTAATGTCATAACAGCATTTTCATACAAAATGTTGTAAGGAAACAGATAAATTGTTACAAAAAATGAGAATAGTAACCAGTTTCCTTACTTACTGAACACTCTATATATTGACAAAAGCTGCTATAACACAAAAATGAGACTTGAAATATTTTATAGTTTGTGATAAAGAGAAAGTTATCTATCTTAAAATGTTACGAGTTAATTTTAACAATAAGGTTTGTTTTTCATAATTCAAAAATATAAATTTCTGTAAGAAATTATTGTAATGTTTAATTTGTTTTGAAAAATTGTTAATTGATAAATCGGATTTTTGAGAATACCGCAGATTTAAAAAACAAATACATTAGTATATTACTAATTATTCTTTTATGACGAGTGCCTTTGTTTAATGAGTAAAGTGTTTTTGAAACTATTCATAAAAAAGACGCATCTTAAAAAATGTTTTATAAGAGTTTTTTGTGGTTGCTGGTATCGAAAAAAATCCATTTACCTAAAGCACCCGACGCTGCAATTGACTTATATTTATATATACAAAATATAGCTCATTTTTGGCATTGGCGAAAAAATAAAAATAACTTTAAAAGTTTTACTTTTATTTTTCAAAATTATGTTGGTGTATATAATAAAAATAATAATGGTTTTTCTTTTTTTTGTCAAAGTTAAAACAGACGTTCTTTGTTCGACTGGGAAAATTAAAATGAAACAATGTTATGAGCTAACGCCACTTTTACACGCAATCGTAGTCAAGTTGCGGCACGCATGTACCCAAATTGCCTATTCAGAGTGCCGTATTACAATTTATTGTTTTCAAAAATTACCAGCTAATAACGTTAATACAACACTAACACATTATAATGGAATTTTCGAAAGGAATCAATTCCGTGATTTTACTACACACTTTTAAAATTAAATAAGGGTGTCAAAATGCTACACCAAAAATCATTTTTAAAAATATTACATAATTTGTTGATGTTTATTTTTCATCTAGTCTATTTACCAATTATATGTATGAATAAATAACGAATTCATAGATCAAAATAACTCTTAAGCTTATAGTTTATTAAATTATTACAAATTCGAATGAAATAGGTAATAGAGTAAGCGAGCTTACGTGATCGACAAATAAAACATAAATTTATTTACATTCAAAAAACGCAATTCTCATACAATATAATTTGTACTACGCTAAACTTATATTAGTCTCACGGTTAACAATGTATAGCTAAATAATATGTATAATATAAACTTAATTTACTTTTCGAAGTAAAATTGATTTAATAGTGTCACAAAAAATCGAAGCTTTTACATTTCCAAAAATCTTACGCTTACTTAGTAGCCCACCTGATTTTTATAAGTAATCTTTACTTTCTTTTTAATATCAATACTTAGATTTTTAGTAATAGTAGATATTATATAAGTTTTATATGAAGGCATTAAAAGCCAGTGAAAGATTAATCGCAGCTTGTGTTAGTAAGCTGTCTCCGTCTCACATTACAGTTTTCTATTTTACAGCCAAAACAATAGCCTGCAATCTTCTTTTGTCAGAATTCTTTGTAAAGAAACCGTTCATCCGCAACTACAACGGAATGCGGTAAAAGTAAAGTAATATTGTTCGAGGAATTTTACAGAGACGCGAGTCAAAAGTATTTATTTTAAATAAAAACCATAAATACTTCATACTATTCATTATATTAACTTCCGGGCGATATTTTTTGTTGGATCGAACTGTATTTATTGGAACACAAGTTATCAATCACATCGCTGACTGTTACTGAACTTAATTTGAATTTATTTTTCATTCAAATGAAAATTCGAAAACGGTTGTAATTAATTAAAATGATAGTTTCACTACTTTTTTTTACAAAAAAAAAAACGTATTTTTGGCTACGGAAAGTCTCTGCGATTAAACGCACTTAACGAGTTATAACAATAAAAGTTTATTTGCCTTTTTTCTCAGTTCAAGTGCTTGCTCCGTTTGCAAAAGATTGCCAACGCAGATCAATTCGAACGTTAACGGCGTTGTTTTTCTAACCACTTTTTCTCCTCTTATCCTCTCAATCTCTCCCCTGTCACACGTGAAAACTACTGCCATCGCATGGCGGTTGGGGAATTGCTGATTTCGACCGATGTTTTCTTTCGATTAACCTGTCCCCTCCTCTACGTCGTCAAGCAAATACAAGCGCACGTTTATCGTTTACTAGAAACCAATTGTTGTGGAAACCTTTGTGTTAGGTGTTTTACCTATTTATTGGTTTTAGGTATTGGTTTTGGGAGATACTCATAATGTATGTACAAATGTTTTATTAAATAATCATTCTAAAAGCTGTTTCTATAAAATTAAAACGCATTATATCATTATTTAAAAGACATTATTATATACGTATTTAATAAAAAGTGTTACATAGCTCAAATATTGTACTATATATGTCTGGTTGACAAAATGTATTAATACAACTCGAATGTTGTATCTATACTGTTAAACGCTAAAGTCAAGTCTTGTATAGTCAATGACGAATTCATCCAGGATAAGATGATTTCTTATCCTAACAGATTTAACAGAAGGACTCATACGTTAATTGGTCGCAAAAAGTTCATACAGTAACAAACCAGGCTGAGAGTAGGCGAATGAGCCCGCTACCGTTGGTCTTTGAGTAGATGTAATAAATCACATTTGGGTGACATATATAAAAACGGGTTTGTGGGGTGTAGTTAAATGGCGCGCTGAATGTGTGTATGAGAAAACAAAACTAGGTCGATCGTAAATTATCGTACCAACTTTACATGGCTATCATTACACCGACCAAATGGGTACAAAATAAGCATGTACACGACATTATCAAACACTACCGTCCTTTCCTCTACTTTATGCATATGTAAATTATCTTACTATTGCGTATTTAAATCAACTTTAAGTGGACCATTCACTGGCCATCCTTTGATGATCTATTGTGCAATGGCTAACAATGCACACACTAAATGATATAAGCTTACCACCTCGCGGTTGCTCTTTAGTCGATTGTAAAATAGGCTCGCCTAAGCTCTTACAAAACTCACTGTGGCAATTTTAAAAGCGACCAGAAAATTGTATTTAAAATTCATTAGCTGAATAAAATATACGCACAGTAGCGCAATAATATGAAAACATTAACGGCCGTGCTAAAGGTTCACATTAAATAATACGGAATCGTATCTTTGCTTATATTATTTCGCATTATTTCAACCGTATAATTAAAAGATGATCTTCTCAGCAATTAATTGATTTATCGTTTCTACGATCATTGTATACGATTTGGCAATAATAACTTACATGTATATAAAAATAATATTTTTCAGCGTGGCAGCAATACTGTAATAATTATACTGTCGACAGATATTTTCCGCGATTAATAATATTATTAAATATGAATTTTTCACTCGAGTGCTTTTAACTAAATGTGTATCTTGCTGAGTGACCTAATATAATGATAATAAAATTGGAATGTATTTAGAGAGAGCTTAGTGAAAAGTACATACATCCGACTGACTGTATTTTACGCTTAAGGCGACGCAAGATGTCAAAAAAACACCAAGAAAATCTTTCAAAGAATTAAGGAAAATTTTAACAAAAGACATCCCACCGCACTTGTCGGCCAATCTTTTGTAAACAAACGACGTAAACGTCTCGAAAACGGTTAATTATGCGTATTAATTGTAGAATTTAAATGACAAAATGGCATTTCCCTTAAATGACGGGCAGCCATCACGAGAAAAATCGTGAATAAACACGTCAACCCTAAGACCACCGGATAAACATTGTCTGATTCCGTAATATAAATCCATATAATAATGCACACAGATTTACGAATCAAGCGAATAATTCGACATTTTAACAGCTACTTGAAATAATACCTCATTCTCGTCTGGTGTTGTTGAACAATGCTTGTATTGTAATTTTGTAATCACATTTGGCGATTAACAAATACCACATTCACGCAAATAAATAAACATGGCATAAAAACGTTCTCTGTTTTTCAGCGAACAATTAACTCGTCATAAATCGAACCCTTTTTTACCGTTATAAAGTCAAGTGCACTAAAAAAATAAAACGTTTCACCTTAGTTGTTGAAATCCACAAAAACAAACTCAAGGTAGGTGGTGCCGAAAGAAAAAAAACAACTCAATAACAGACAAGAGTGTTCAAATTATATCTCGCGAGGTTAATGAAATTGGAGTAATTAAGGCGATTTCAAATCAGGCGAACGGAAAATACTAAGGCAGTTTTGAATACTTTGAACGTTCAAACGTCTAGTGAATTTTACAAGTAATTTATCGATGTTATGCTAACAATACAACGCG